AAATGACGGAGCCTTCCTGCTTTGATTAGAATGTTAGTCATCATGTTTGTTGTATGTAAGGTTCAGTTATCTGTTTTTAATGGGCATTAGATTATCTATGCTTTTCAAATTTACAATTCATAAAATAACAGTTTCAGTAGGTCACTCAATCAACTATCTACAACCTTGTAGAGCAGCAAAAATTATTATTAAATATTAATGATTATATTTAATAATACAATTATCATCAGAGAGTACTGATTACCAAGTCAATTACCCAACATACTCTCTAATGTCAACTGTAACCAACAATGAACCATGCAAGTTTTTAAAAATTTTTGTTGAAATATTATATGTATTATTCTGTATAATGCAATCTTGTTTTTTTTGTAAAGTCTAAGAACTGAAGAGGGGTCATTAAGACCCGAAATGCATTTCCTTTAATAAAAAATACATAAATCAACTGTTCCTTGTGTGATGTGTTACTGAAGAAAGATTCGGCAAAAAACACTTTTGCAAATTCTGTCATATGCTTCACATTGATCATTACTATTCATTAATGATTCTTACATATATAATTCTTAAAAATAACTTTTTTTTTTTTTTTTAATAACTGAAGCATGTCTTTAATGTAGAAAGTATTACAAATTAAAACAAAAATAAGACAAGTATTTCTACCCTTGTTCAGGTTCATAGCATTTCTTTGTATGTGGGAAGCAGAATTTTCACTAAGGCCAGGAACACACATGCGTAAAATTCAGCTTAAAACAGAAAACGTAAAAATTTTTCTGAAATTTTGGCTGAAACAGAACTGAAAATAGAGTAGAGCATGTCTCTACTTTTTACGCCAAAAAATTTTTACACCAAAATTCTTCCAATAAAGAGAAGTCTTTCCTGTGACATCAAAGTAGACACGTGGTTTTTATTCTAACAATGGCGGCAATGAGGGTTAATCCTACAATTGTGACGGTCTGGAAAAAACGAAAAATAAATGAAATAGAGGAATTTATTGAATTTGTTCAACCACATCAGTATCATGCATAAAGACACTGTATTTAATTAATTAAACAACGTTTATGGATGGCTACAGGTGTTAAATTTCAAATAACAGGTAAGTCTAGTAGAATCGATATATAGGCCTAGTAAAAATCGTACTTACTAAACCTTTATTGTCTGGTACTTGTAAATTATTTGCAAAAACAAACGTTTTCGGCCTCAGTCGTTTGTTTTTGCAAATAATTTACAAGTACCGGACAATAAAGGTTTAGTAAGTATGATTTTTATAAGAATACCGGTATTCAGATTAGAAGATTTTTGATATAGGCCTAGTATTTAGACCACACGTTCTTATCTGAATTCAGAATATGAGTCTGTTAATTTCTGTATTATAGCGGAGGAAGCGGAGAAAAAATGGAAAGTACAAAGGGATAGATATATGAGAGGAAAAATTAATAAAATTAGCACTGTTAGTGACAGTGGCATTTCCTATTCGACCAGAATTTTTATGTATGTGTGTTTTGGCATAAAAGCGTAAAACAGAAACTGAACTGAAAGCTGATTTCTGATTCAGTTTTCTGCCACATAATTTTAGGCCAGGAACACACATGAGTAAAATTGTGTGGCAGAAAACTGAATCGAAATCAGCTTTCAGTTCAGTTTATGTTTTACGCTTTTATGCCAAAACACACATACATAAAAATTCTGGCCGAATAGGAAACACCACTGTCACCAACAGTGCTAATTTTAAAAATCTTCTAATCCGAATACCGGTATTCTTATAAAAATCGTACTTACTCAACCTTTATTGTCCGGTACTTGTAAATTATTTGTAAAACAAACGTTTTCGGCCTCAGTCGAGGTCTGCTTCAGGTTAAATTATTGGATTTCATTCTTCGAATGCACGTTTAGTTTTAAATATAATCGAATTTCTTGCGCGTGTTACGTATCGTCATCGTTTTTGTTGTTCTTCGCATACGTAACGCCAAGCATAAGAAAGCGTGTTTCCGTCTTTGTTGTTTATACATCTCCCTGTCCTGCCTGCTTTGTAGATTTCTAGGGCTTCAAGTGCTCTGATGTGATCCGTATGAAAAGCTCTATTTATTAATCTGGCTTTTGATAGCTCCGCGTGAATATCCGGGTCGGTTGCGTAGGTGGATAGTGCAGTGGTGTAACGAGCATGTTCTATGTCATATTTGTGCTCTTTAACTCTCTGTTGGATTGAACGTTT